CGTCCGCTAGGTGACCACAATTACCCTTACCTCAGTGCAATGGGAATCGAAATAGTTTATTTTTTAAACTTTTATATTTCTCAAAGATGATTATTATAGTGATAATTACTGATCTCAAATGCTAGCTAATTAAGTATATTTTATGATGTGGCGGTTGCAATGAAAATTTAGTTTGATTTCATTTATTCATTTCAATTATTGCTTAAGTGATCCCCATTACCCCTTTCTACCCTAAGTATTTCAAGTTTCAATTGTTCGTTATGAAACCTTAAGTACTAAAAATCTCAGTGCGAGTACAATAGGTATTGTACAGGTACTGTGCACGCAATAAAACTACCAATAACCTATATATTCTATTATATTGGTTATTGACGTGATTTTGATGCGAAGTATAACGTGCAAAGTACATGGTTAGTTCTACAGTGAAAATTAGTGCAGCTGTACAGAATTCAGATTATCCCAGAAGCACAGTTTGGAAAATTTTAAAACAAGTGAGTTATTGATGAAAAAAATATGGCATAAAATACATTGAAGGATGTAGCCGTTACTTCGTGGTAGGAGATCACCATGAAAAATAAGAAATGAAATGTTCTATGTTTTTTACCACTTTCATTTGTAACTAACGATAGTGCAGTTTCATCCTAAAAGGACATTTTCACGAACAAGCAATGACGAGTGAGCAAGTGCATTATAGTGACGCAAAAGCCATGAAATATTTTTTCACAATACCAAACGTTTTCTTCGAAGAAGACGGTGAACAAAACCTTGACATTTAATCGAACTTGGCGTGCTTTTCATGGTATTGGCTTTCCTGGGCTCTTTCGATTGGGACGATTGGACTTTGGTTTTGATATCATAACCATATAGGTACCCATGATTCGTCATCTGTTATGACTCTTTTGAGCAAATCTGGATCGCCTTTGAAGTCATTCAACAATTCGGTTGTTGATGTGTTGTGGCGTCCTGGACGAGCGTCATCATTCATATGTTCTAGACCTTTTGTGAAAAGCTTGTACCACTCATTGTACTGACTCAGAGTACAATCACCGTATACCAGTATCAACATTTCAAGTGTTTTTGAGCACTTTACTTTCATTTTTCACATAAAACGCTGATTTATATTTTTCGATAGCAGAAATTTGCCGAACACGCAAAACATTTCTAACTTTTATGGCTGTCACCAATAAACTAAACTTGCTAAATAGCTGAAACTGTTCGCATATGTTCGAGACGAGTGTACCAATATAAAAAAATGAAACAATCGCTAATCGAATGTACGCAGCCCTCGAAATTTTAACATTCCCCTTATTCATTTAACAGACCACGTAAAACAGACAATTTTGGTTTGAAATCTTTGTCATGTACATGTTCCTAGTAGATAATATATTCTGTATGTGGCTATCCTGCAGTTGAATCAAGTATACTCCTAGGATTTATATAGAATATCTCACTCTTGTTAGAAAAGTGAACTGGATATCAGAAAGTTAAATTAATTGAACGATTTATATGTTTTAATATGTTTGAATTAACATGTTTTTCTGATTTGCATGCATAATAGTTGGAAACTACATATTCCGCTTCTATCAAATAGTATTATTGTGTCAAACTGTACAACCCATTCTGTTGTTTCAAATAACGATAACTTTCAGTTTCCCTATATGAGTGAGAAATAACTAGCGAGAAATAACTAGTGACAAATAACTAGTGAGAAATATGTCAAGGCAAATATGAACATGACAATGAATCTGGTAGGTACTCATTATTGTTAATAATTGATACTCACCCGTTTGCGGCCGTTGCCCTTTAGTGGAAGGTAATGTCATACTGTTATTCTCAGAACTTATCCTTTCATTATAATCCAAACTGGCACCAGTGGTGATTTCTTGATCCGAACTCACTCCGGAAGAACTGTTGTCGCCATCTTCCACGACATCAGATTCCTTCTGTTTCTTCAGCAGATTGTCCGGATAGGACTTCGAAGACTTCAGTAACATCCTTCCCTTTCGGATTTCCTCCACGCTGAAGCTATGCGGAACCGAACTACTTCCCGAACTGCTGCCACTGAAAATATAAATCAAATATCTTTTAAAAAATTCCTCATTATAGAGTTTATTGACTGTAGGTCGATGAGTATTTACGTGAAATATTGCTATTGAAGGAAAATTAGTTATTTGATTAAGCAAACAATTCTAGAAAATATTGAGAAGCTGTGAGCCTAAAATAAGAGTAGGCAGTCGTACTGAAATCTTACTTTATGACGCCTAATTCTATCTGAAACAGTTTTCTATAATAATTAGAAAACTAATCCCCCATATAATCCCATATAATCCAGCTCAAACTCCCTGGAGCCACCCATAAATCAAAGCTATCACAGTTTTAATGAAATGCCATTGTCATTTCTCTCTACCTTTACAATTTCATTCAGATCAATCATGTAGCCTCTTAGTTTTATTGATATTTTTATAATTTTTATACCAAAGTATGCGCTGGTCAGAAATCATGTGCCCTGAGCAAGCACAGTGAGTCGAGAATGACAGCCTTCTGCATCTGTGCGGCTAAGATTTCTGCCTTGGTGTGGCAAGCCGGTATGATTTTAAGATTGGAGAGTAGAGAGGGCATCATTCCACCAAGGACTCCAATATAATCAGAACAACGATCTTGACAGTGTGATCTGGATAGAGTCTGCGGAGTTCGAAGAGAAAATCTCGATATTTTATCCTTTTCTCCTTCTCTTTTCGAACAATATTCGTCTCGCCAGGAGGTGAAAACTCTACGACAAATGTCGTCTTGCTCTGGTGGTCGAGAAGGACTTCATCAGGCTTATTAGCTTGTATGATCCTGACATCCCCATAACGGATTCAATATCCCCCGTAGCATAGGGCAACACCGGTGTCTTGTCAAAACCGTAAGAGTGCGGTAGATTGTAATATAGCACTCTTAGCGCCGCGTTATGTCGATGAATATAGGCCAAGACCGCATATGCTGGACATGCTGATAGCAAATGCAGTAGGGTCTCGCACGCCTCGCGGCCCTGCACCTTGTGTCAGGAACCTCTATACCCATCACGCGACTGCGGTAGACTAAGGTGTTGAAGACACCATTCTGGCAAGTCATGATGAACTCCTCAGTTTCCGACTTCAGCCCACTCTAGCTGAGGAAAGCGAAAGTCAGGTACTTTGATAAGCCAAGGTCTTCAATGTTATTGAAAGAGACCCCATGTATTAGCTTATTCTTGTGTTTCCGCAGAAATGAGGTGATATCTGCGGCTGTTATATGAGCTTTTTGCTGAACGGGTTCCAACTCGGTGACAGAGTTATTGTCACCTCGTTCAGTGTCGAAAACTAAACCGAGTTCACCAGCTGCTCGGGCAGCTCCCCTAAAGAGAAATGCTCCAATTCCTGCTCTCTCATGGTCAAGGACCATGCAGAGAAGGGGATCCGACCTCCTGACGACTTTACAGTACCATTCTGTCATGTAACAACTCAAAAGTCCACGGCCTTCCTGTTTTCGGAGGAAGTACAACCGTGGAACAGACGATTTGGGATGCAAACTCCTATAGAGATGCATAATTTTTCGGGTCTTTACTTCGAGTTGATACAGATCCTCCCGAGTCCACTTCACTACTCCAAACGAGTAGAGTGAGTGCCGTTGTTCCACCCCGAGGTAAGTATACGTCTCTCCGGCATCCAGATGGTGTAGGATGCTTCCATCTACGAGCTGCACATCCTCTCCGTAGTCCCCGAATCTCCTCTTTTGAGATGGACTATGGCACATTTGTCTATCCCGCAATGTATTCGTAATTCATTCTAGAACCACTGCGATGGGACCTACAAAGGGTCGACACAGCGGTCCGTTTGGTATTGGATCACAAATTTTTTGGTTTTGGGCTGAACTATATATTTGCATTACAGTAAAAGATGTAGGGAAAGAGATGACGAATCTTGTTTGGCCAATGATGGTAAAGTTTAGTTTTCCAACACATCACTATCAAGAGCCTCATTTATCTTTGATATTCGATGATTGAGTCTTATGTCGATAGATAGCATCTTTGTAATGGAAGATGTCTTCACTTCTTCACATAGGTGCATAGCTATAGCAGGCCTCCATGGCTGCAGCTGGTTTTTTTTCACATCCCCTTTGACACAAAGTCTTATCAGTCTTTGAAGCAATTCAATATGTCTTAATGGTTTCTCACTATTAGCGCTTATTTTACCAGCAATTCTCACAGCAATTCCGCCTGAAAATGTTAAGGATATACAGATTGAAACTATTTGTGGTTTGGATTTTCAGGTCATCTGTCGGAATTTCTTCCTGACGTTTCGCCAGCGCGAGTAGCTGGCATCTTCAGCAGTTTGTATCATCGCTAACAACCTGCCTTCCACGCAGACTTCTTAATATTCTAGCCACTAGTGCCAGCGAAATGTCAGGAAGACATTCCAACAGACAACGGCTAGAAAACCTGAAACTACCCAACTGTTTTGATTTTTTTTCTGACTGATCCGACCGTTACTTGATGAAGATCCATAGTAATTTTATAAACCCCACCTTACGATTTGATATTCATAAACTTCATTTTGAAAAATATCACATGTTTCGTTGTCACATTAGCTTTTTCGTGGTAAATAACATACTATGTAGTGACACTATGTTATTTTCTACGAAAAATCTACTGTGATAGCGAAATTGTAAGGTGTAGTTTATGATAGTTTTGAAGAACACGTGAGTTATATAACATCTTCGAATCGAATGTTATCTCTGAGTAGTTGGCCTTTTTTGTGAAAAAAGTTTGCTCTCCGCTAGTAGTTACAAGCCTTTCAGTGGCTCTTTTCTAGTATAAGACACGACTCTGTCTTTTGCTCAATTAAGTGCTTCTCGAGTTTCCACTGAGTTGAGTGTCTTCTCTTCTTTTCTGGTATTACTTAGAATTGTTCCTCATTGCACTTTCAAGGCAATATTTCAAGATTCAAGGGTCAACTACAATAGTGGCAATAGAACACCCCATGAGGGGTAACTTTTACGTGCTTCCACCTTAAGTCTATCTCTTAGACGGGTATTTTTTCAAGATTCCAAAAACACTCTCTCCAATTTGATATGTATACTGAGGCAGTTACATAACTTGTCTTTTGTACATACTCAAATGAATTTTAAAAATATAGTTAGCGACATACAACCTACTCAGTTAGTTATGTATATAGACTTGTTATCTATATTGTTGAAAATCTTGTCAAATTTACAGCATACCTATACCTATTATAATGTTTGAAGGCACTATTTGAAAATATCTTCAATGTGATAAATATTCAGACTGCGTTTTAATGTTGTGTTTCAAACCCACCAAGAAGATACAACAAAGCCTCAGGTCGGCTAAAGACTAAAGGGACCCAAGGGTTTATCGCATACCGTGCACTTGTGGGAAGGTATACATTGGAACCACCAAAAGATCCATGGGAACGAAGTTGAAGGAGCATGAAAGAAATTGCAAACTAGGCCAAACAGACAAGTTGGCTTTTGAAGGAATTTGTGTCAGGGAAATATGTGTTATATGAATCTAGATGAGCTCTATCTTGATCAAGTATATAACAAAAACTTATTAATGAACAGATTTTGATTTTTTTCAATTAGAAATAGCAGCTCTGAAACAGAAAGATAGACCTGGAACCTCTGATAACGAAACTTGTTGATAAAACATTTTTCGAGAGAAGTGTTATAGTAGGTACTGGCGTAGGAAAGAAGTATCTGTGTTGGATTAACTCGCCCTCTTTTCCTTGCTTCAGCTACCATGTATTTCCAATGTTTTTTTTAAGAGAAAGGAAGCTTCAAGGGAGTTATTTCGTTTGAAATAGTGATTGCGAATGGATAAATTTTGCAAGTAAAACCTCGACCATTCAATGGAAATTGTGTCTACCTATCGTTTCTTGAGAATTTACTGGATGCAACGACCGAAGGGGATAGCGAAAGGCAAGAAGATTGAATGAGAATTGACGAACAATTTGAGAATCATCAATCTGCTCATTTAAGGTTTCCGCAGTCCAACCCATACGCTGCGCTGGTGATCAGAAAAGCAAGACAATAGAAAGTAAACCAGTGAAAAGTGATATTGAAGTACAAGTGTTTGACATTATATACCTACTTCCCTACTTATCCCTACTAATATTATAAATGCGAATGTAAGTTTGTTTGTTACGTTTTTACGCGAAAACTACTCAACCGATCATCATGAAATGTTGTACACATGTTCTTAGAGGTATTAGAAGTAACAAAGGATACTTTTTATTAAAAAAATATTTTTTATGTTAGATGGACAAAGACAAGGGGGAGAATTTTTCCTAATAGATCCCAAATAAATCTATTTCGACGTAAATGTTGCACTACATTGTGTGTTATAATCTCTATACTAACATATTTCAACAGAGGTTAGCAAATAGTCTGCATACTAACGGTGACATCATTCGTTTTTCAAAACTGTGCCCATCTCTCCTCGAATTACCCTATACTGGGTTTCAGTGGATCTCTGTAAGAGAAATTTGAAACACATTCAATTTTGTCCAGAGTTGGAGATGATTGGAATGAATGAATGAATACTCAATATGGTCTGTTTCTTCTGAAACTTCGAAATGTTTTATTAAGTTTGAAAGAAGTGGTTGTAACGGAGGTAAAATGATAAACAAGACACACTATCTCAAATGAAGTGCAAATCAATGTTATTTTTCCAACTTTTTACTTATTTCCTGAATTTTTCAAACGTCGAATCACGTACCTTCCCTCTATTGAAAGGAAGATTTTGAAACGAAACTAAAAATAATAATATAGACTCACCTTGTATTACTGTTGCCGCTGTTTTCTGTTGGTTGTAGTTGCAAACTATTTATTCTAGCTGCTAAGCTATCATTTCTTAGGGTCTCATCCATATCTGTTTCAGAATCACTGCAGCTGTAATCAGGATCTGGAATTGGTGGTGAATTAGGTATCATAATTTTTGGTGCTGTTTTAGTTGGCGGTAGTTTTTTTCGCCGATCTCGTGAACCTAGAAAAAAAAATTATGAAAATTATCATATTAAAACAAGTAAACTCTATGCGTTATACCAGCAGGGGAAAAAGTATGTAATCTTAATGAGGTTCACGACGATTTTTTATATTTTAGTGACTTTTCTATTAGCCTGATAATCGAAACCAATTCATATGAATTATAGAAATATCCATGAACAAAACAGATCTACAGTTCCATACTAGAGATGAATTAGACAAAGAATAAGTAATCAAACCAAACTTACTTTTACTGTAAGGAATGGTCTCCGTGGTAGAACTTTTACTTCAAGAATTTTTTGAATAAAAAGGACTTTGTGATTTCATATATGTTGGCTGAAACATCGACATTCCAAAATATGGTTCAACAAAAATATTGCCCATCTCATGAAACAAAGAGAATAATTCTTTCATAAAAAATGCAAATGATAACAACACGTGTTTCCCGACGTTTTTTTCATCATCACTATATGATAATACAATTCTCGGCTAGAGTTACTTCAAAAAAGTATATTTTTTGAGCCTAGGACTCAAAACTATACATAAACTCCACTTTTCGTAAGAACATGTAATATACCAAGTAACAATACTCCTAATCTCCTACGCCATTCACGACAATAAATTTTCGAATTGCCATCCATTGTTCCTTAAACACATATTTGCTCTTGAAATGACATTTTTATGGTAATTTGAGGAGTTACAGCCATGCAAACCCTCCTTATTGTTTCTTCGAATTCGTCAATATTGTCAAAAGTTGAGCCGAATACCTTGTTTTTGATGAAGCTCCACAACGAAAAGTCCAGAAAGGTCAGGTCAGGTGAACCTGGTGACCATTCAATAGGGCCATTGTTTTCATCAGCCTGGCATAGTCATATTGAGACAATCTCTGAAAATAGTTCTGCGGTGTTGCGGAGCTCCATTATGTTGAGAATACTGATATTTTCTCAAAATATTCAAAGATAATTCTTCCAACAACTTAACTGAAGTCTCTGACAAGAATTCCAAATATAATTCATCCGTCATGCATGATTTCAATTTAAGAGCCACCGGTAGACAGCTGTTTCAGCCTATTGGACATCGTCAGTACCGGGCAGGCTGTCCTCGATTGAAAACAAAATGTGAATAACCAAGAAAAATACTTAATAACTGCGTAAACACAAGCGAGACATATATAACAATAAATATTAGTGATAAATAAATAACCTGTAGAATGGGATCTAGAAGCTCGAATGGGCTGGGCATATGGATTACTATTCTGGTTTTCTGGGATCGCAGAAGTATTGCTGGTTATTCCTGGTTGGAATGTTATATTGGTTCTCAAACTCTGCGACTTCCTGATTTGAGATTTAGATGAATGGGATGGTAGGCTCTTGGATCGGTAACCAACTGTTTTCATATCTTCAGGTGACGCATACAACTTGGCATTTGCAGTGGGTTTAAAAGAAGATACCACACCTAAAAATATGGATAATTGAGTATCGGGTATTGTGAATATATAATGTCGATATTTCTTTATTATTTCATCAGATTGCTCAATGAGAGAGAAATATATGAACACTGAAACTATTTCTTGAATTATCAAAAAAAGTTTCGTACTTTCTTCTAGTAAATCCCTGTTCAACGTATCGTACTCAGAATGTTTTCCCCGAGATACGTCAACTTTGATCATTTGAACATGAGGTGGTATAGGTGGAGGAGGATGATTGGGTGGTAGAGATCTGTTCATCAGGAGAGCGGAAATATCTTCTTGACTCCTATGGAATTTACTCGGTAACGTCTGAGAGCTGAAGAACGCTGCTTCCTGAACTAAATCCGGCGTGCTATGGAAGTTCCTCTTCAATTCTTTACCACCAAAGAATATTTCCGAAAACTTCACCTTAGGGTTCTGGAAAGTACATTTGACCTAATGTGAAATTCTATTTATATGTACATAATAAAAATTGTATTTAACTATGAATTAGTCTTGTATTGAATGATAAATGATTATTATTTTTATTATTACGGTATCCTTTAAGTGGCCCAGAAATTATTGCTCTATTGTAGCACCACTCCACATTTATCATTATCCCATTACTTGATTTGGTCCTGTATCATATTTTCTATTAATCGCACACCTAGTGCAGGGTTCATATATAGAGTTGATGAACCATGTCCAGTATAGTCGATAGAGACACTCTTGAGCTCGTCAATGCTACAAGTACAGCTAGACTGACTGCAAGAATATTGATCAACTCATTTCGTTGAGGCTCCAAAATTATATTCCTTGCATATTGCAAGATTATCAACATTTCCGTTTGGAAAGGTATATTGACAGAGCGGGTGGATGTAATGTAAAGTTCAGTCCAGACCGTATATTCCAGCTACCATCCCATGTACTGTTTTGGCCCGCCTGTATACTATGTTCTGTGGATGACTTCATCATTTACGCTTCTTGTGAATTCAATCGTAAAGTTTGTGTCAAAAACTCACTTCAGTGTGATATGAAGTCTATGAACAGGTTTAATATTTGTTTGTCTGCAATTTTGTCCCATTCCTTGTAGCCTATCTGATAATGATATACTCACTTTGCTCTTGCTCCTCTTCATCTCAGCCACACTGGCGTACACCTTTCCTTTACTAGGTGACCCCAGAGTATTCGAGCCACTCTGAAACCGCGAACTCGTCATCAGCAATCCCTGATAAACGCCGTCGCTCTCCCTTTGCTTCTGGAAGAGCTCCTCCAGAGCGGAGTGCGGTATTCTATTCGAGGTAGGCCTCTGTCGTATCGAGGCTGTTCTCGGCGGTACCGGAGCCGAACTAGCAGTACCGACCTGAGTAGATTGGTGTATCGACTCTGCCGAACTCGATTTCGTCATGTCGTCAGTCTCATCTTTTTCTCCCCCTTGAAAAAATAAAAGTGGTTCATTTCATATAAATTTTACCTCTTTTTTGGAGATAGTTGAATGTTTATTTGAATCGTTCTTGGGGAAAATTGGCAACCTTACCTTACCAATTATTCAATTAGTAACGTCTGACAGTGTTTTATCATTACGAATAACACACTGACCCGTTACTTGTTTAAATAACACTATCCACATGATAATTAAGCGATTTTCACAAATTTGCTCAATTATTATCAGGATAGTATTTTGTCAGTTTTTTTTTGGAAAGAGAGAATATCTTTTTTGAAATCAATTGGTTGTAATGTATGCAATCATTTTAATTACTTTTTTTTGGGGTGTCATCGATAATAACTGTTAACAGGAACTCCGTAGTTTGAATCCTTCAATATTAAAAATATGTATGCAGTCCTGTCATTTACTTCATTCCCCAAAGCATAAAGGATTCAATTCATTCGTGATGAATTCGGTTACAAGATAATTTATTAATTTTTGATGAGTGGCAATATCGTGGGGGTGGGGGAGAATGAAAATTTATTCATACCAAGCATATTTCACCAATGTGTACTTATATTATATGCGAGAAAATGAATTCAATAGTATTTCTCAGTTTTCTCCCTCAGTTATCGAAGTTCACACATTCAAATTCAATTGAGGCTGCCTGTGTTATCACCCTTCCATGATAGTTAATCGAATCAAACCCCCATTTCCGTATATCAAACGTCCATTATTGCGAATAGATACTGTCTGGGTTGTATCAGCTACACAGCTCTCACCACATACATAATTGAGTAATCGACCAACATGTTTTGCTGTCGAATATAATCAAGTCGGGTATTGCAGCTTCCACAAACCTATCAGTTATTAGTTACGGTTATTGATTTTATCTACCACATACAATGTTACTGCTTGGAGCGAATTCAATCATTTAATGAGTTTGAGGAACATACATGAAAGTAATTTCTATCTCAGTTGACAAAAACCTAATGGTGCCATGCCTGTCGTAAAAGTTGACAACCACAGGTGGTTGACTATTTTGGTTGCCGGCCTATCAATTATAAAACAAAGTTTTCATCAGTTTTTTCAGTGTTAAATGTAAAAACACATTGGTAAAGGAAGATTATTGAATCAATATAATCAATCACTGAAGAGGTTAGTACCTACAGCATTAAACTGTTCATTTACATTTAACACTTTTAAACAATAAGTGGTTGATCAATGGACGTATGTCCTAAACGCCTTAACTTTTGAGATACAGGGTGGCAAAGTTTTCAAAAATAATCAGTTTTTTAATAATAATTGAATTAAAAATTATTTTTAAAATCTCCATACATTTTTGAGCACATTTGATTTGCTGGGTTTTCTTTGTCCGACGCATGGTTTTCGCTCAAAAAATTAAAAATCGCTTTACTTAAGGATAAATTCCTTAAAAATCTGATGCGGTATCGTGCATCGACTGAAAGCAAACTAAGAGATCAGATTTGTTGCAAAATAATTGAGGA